AGCTCGCGGGAAGCAGGCGCGGCAGCGGCGGCAATGCCGGTAAGTAATGTCGGGGCAGGCACGGGGGCGGCGAAGGAGCCTGCAGACCCGCCCTCGCCGGACCCAATGGAGCGGAGCCTAGAGCCAGCAAGTCACTCCCAGACTCACTGCTGGAAGACCCGTTCCCAGACGTCATCTCCACTCGGGCCGGGCTAGACACCGACGCGGGGCCGCTGTGCCGAGGGCGGCGCGGCCGCCCACGGGCATTCGACTGGTGGGGCCAGTGCCGCAGCGGAGGATGGCTCTTGCACTGCTGCCGCACTTGCGAGTGGACGGCGGCAAGGAGGCATGGACCGCGCTGCGACGCCAAGCACGGCACGGGAGCGGTCACCCAGGAAGAGGGCGTCACACCGGGCAGCGGAGGAGCGGCCAGCTCACGCCACCCGGGGCTTGCGAAGTGCCAGAGGACGAGAACCGGGTAAGATCGACGCCCAGGGGGCCCGCCCCAGCCGAGGAGACGGCAGCGGCGGCGGCGGCGACGGCAGAGGAGCGGCCAGCAGCCGCGGCAGCATCAGCCAGGCGCCCGCGCTCCACGCCCGGCTGCCCCCACCTGGAGCACAGCGCTCCTGGCGAGCGATGGCGCCTGGGCTACTGCTGTGACAGGTGCGCGGGCAAGCACGGTGGCGAGGAGTGGGCTGTGGGAGGGTCACCAATTACAAACATTGCGAAAGGGATGGACACGGCCTCTCTGCTGACCCACCCGGGCAAGCGCTGGGGTGGCCGCAGGAGGAAACGGCAGGGCGGCAACAGCCCCGCATGGAGGTGCGCCCACTGCCCGATGGCTACCAGCAGCCTTCGAGGAGCTGGCCCAGCAGAGACGCGAGGAGGGGGAGGCGAGGCGCGCGGCCGCGGCGGCTGCGGCAGAGCTGGCAGTTGCAGCAGGGCGGCGCGAAGAGGAGGACCAGCAGCAGGGAGAGATGCCGAAAACGCGCAGGACGGAAGCGCCCAGGCTGCGCGCGAGGACCCCTCCGGCTGGGATCAAGGCGGAACCCGAGTCTGACGAGGAGAACGCGAAGGTCGCGACGTCCGCGGGCCCGCCGAGAGCCACGAGCCCGAGCACAAGGGTTGCTGCTGGCGCGAAGAGCGCCACGAGCCCGCGTCCGGGGGTTACTGCTGGCTCGAGGCGTGGAGAGCCCGCCGCTACTGGAGGGGTGGCGCGGGCGGGATCCGACAGCCACCACGGGCGGCGCGATGGCCAGGGGAGGCCCCGCTCCCGGTTCCGGGCAGGAGAGAGCCTGGACAGGCAGGGGGGCAGGGAGGCTCCGGACGGCGAGCGGGACATCGACGGGGCAAACACGGGAAGCGAGCCGCAGCCGGAGGACAGCCTGGGCTCGCCGAGCCCCCCCCCCTGCCCGCTGCGCGGCCTGCCAGGACTGGGGATGCGAGGCGCGCTGCGGATGCGAGAGGTGCGGAGGCGTGGTCTGCGAGGGCCTTTATGAGGAGGAGCGCGGCCGCGACCACCCGAGGTGCCAGCGCTCCGAGCTGGGCGCGTTCGGCGAAAGTGGGCCCGAGGCGGGCAGGAGTGTCGCAGGCGAGGAGGCGCAGAGCAGCGAGCAGGGCAGCCCGCCAAGAAGTGGGAGCCCGGCGAGCAGGGGGGGGCGGTCGCCGCCGTCCAGTCTGCAAGGAGCAGAAGACAGGGCGCGGGCGCCCATGCCCATGCCCGACGGGGTGCGCAGGAGCCCAGAGGAGGAGGCTGCAAGACTGGCAGCGCTGAGGGCACACGCGGTGAGGATCGACCGGGAGACCCAGGGCTCAGCGGGGTCAAGAGGCGCAGGCGACATGGACCCAGCGGCAGTGCAGCACTACCTGAAGCAGACGGAGGGCGAGGCGTCGAGCGGCCTCAGGGCATACCTGGAGCCGCTGGCCCGGAGGAGTCGAGGCGACAGCAGGCGCAGCGGGTCCCTAGAGCAGGAGATGGCACAGGCACAGCTGGAGCGGCTGATCAAGATATGGGGCTGCCCGGAGCAGAGGGCAGGCCGGCTGGACTGGGCTCGCGCGGCGCCGATGTCTGAGGAAGCAGAGGGGCGCAGGGCGGGAGCCAATACCCAACGCAGGAAGCGCAAAGGCGCGAGCGTTGAGCCGACGGTCGGCCAGCCCGCCAACCTTCTGGGGCCGGAGGCCGTGCTCGCCAACGCCAAGCCCGACGACCTGATCCTGGCGGACCTGAAGACGCCAGAGGACTGGGAGAAGGCCAAGCTGGAGCTCGGTCTGGACAAGTTGGCAGGCTCCACCATCAAGTCCCGCAGCCTGGGATGGCGCTGGTGGTCACTCTTCTGCAGGGCGCGCGGCACTAGCCCGCTGCGGGAGGTCACCACGTCTAACAGATTGGCGGAGGAGGAGCTGCTGCTGGACTTCGTGGTGCACGAGTCGAGGCGAGGGCTCCAGAAGGCAGGCACGATCAAGCAGTACCTCAGCGATGCGAGGGCGCAGCACCTGGCGCCAGGCATGGGTGACCTCGCGG